TGTGTAAGTTTAGGTAGCTTGTGCTTTTCTAAAAATGTATCCATCTCCTCTAGGTTCGAATTTTAGAACTCTTGATGAAACAAAAATATCAAAATGTGAAAGTAACATAAAAGCAGAAAAGAAAGTCTGTTTCATGGTCACTTGAAATGTCCAACATATTTGTAATATCTGTGAAAAAACAAAACAGAATTTGATGACAGTCTCTCTAAAGTGGAGGTTTTATTTTAAACTGTACATTCAAAATGTCTGCTTGTCTGATTAGTCATTCAAATAGAGCACTCAGAATTTGGCAGTTGTGTGCTGTCGAGTTGCTTCCAACCCATAGTGACCCTGTATAGGTTTTCTGAGCAGTAGATGGTGAGCTTGAACCGCTGACCGTGTGGTTCAGAGCGACTTGGCAGTCCAGCGCATTAACCCACGGCGAGCACCACACCAGGACTCCAGAATTTGACAGTTGTTGTTGTGATGCACCGTGGAGTCGGTTCCGACTCATAGCGACCCTTTCCGAGGCTGTAAATCTTTACAGGAGCAGAAAGCCTCATCTTTCTCCTGCGGAACAGCTGGTAGTTTCAAACTGCTGACCCTGCGCTTAACAGCCCGATTTGTTACCACTGCGTGAGATGTTGTTGTTGTTATGTGCTGTGGAGTCGGTTCCAACTCATAGTGACCCTGTACAGGGTTTCCGAGGCTGTAGATCTTTACGGGATAAGAAAGCCTCATCTTTATCACGTGGAACAACTGGTAGTTTCGAACTGCTGACCCTGAGGTTTGCAGCCCGATTCGTAACCACTACGCTACCAGAGCGACAGTAGGAACATGCAAAAGAGAAGTAGAAACCGGGGATAATGAACCAGAACTCTTGGGAGTTTGGAATAGAAGCTTTTTTCTGTGGACTTTTCATTGACTTTGCAAGTTAGTCGAATCCTATGCTGCTCTTTTGTTTCTATTACAGAGCACTGGGTTCAGTTGAGAACTGAGTTTTAGTAATGGTGTGCATGCGCGCACACACACCCATTCACACACACACAAATGTTGCTGAATCGCTGTTTTAGATTATTGCACCAAAAACTATCAGGAGTGTATGAGTGCCACTTTGCGCTATTCACTTGCTCATATTGAATATAATGATCAAAACACTTTTCCCCCGTTTGTAAGTGAAAAGTGATACTTGGTGATTTTATTTTGCAAAGACTTTAAAGTTCAAGCTATGGTACAGCCTGCTAACTGTAACTGATTTATTCTCCTTATCTGTGAAATGAAAATTCTAGACACCTTACAGGGTATTATGAGAACTGAATGAATGAATGCTTATGAAAGCATTTTATTGACTGAATATTGCATAAGTATAATGAGGTTCCAGTCTCCTAACTAATAAATGGGTAAAGGACATGAATGAATGATTCACACCTACAAAAAGAAATACAGTGCAAACTCAAACTAATGGGGGAAAAGTCTAACCTTAACTGGTGATATGCGTATTCTTTTCATTTTGTTGTTGTTAAGTGCCATCGAGTCGATTCCTACTCTTAGCGACCCTATACAGGGTTTACAAGGAGTGGCTGGTGAGCTTGAACCACCCAACTTTGCAGTTCAAACCCATTTTAGGGGTGAGATAATTAACTTTCCTAGATCCATCTGACAAAGCTCTTGCTTTTTCCTGTATACCACGTGGTCTTATAATCTTTGTATTCCTACTACCTTGCATGTGTTTATTAAATACATGTTTGAATTGACTTGAATTAAATCTATGCGTAGATTTTTCTATATTTTCTTGGTAACTAATGACATATTTATTTAGTTTGAAGGAGGAGTTCCCTGCCTGGTATGAGAAACTTGTTCTGGAGATGGTCCACCATAATACAGCCTCCTTGGAGAAGCTAGTAGACAGTGCTTGGCTGGAGATCATGACCAAGTATGCTATGGGAGAAGAATGTGACTTTGAGGTAAGTGCCTTTGTTATATACTGTGATTTCACGTACTAACTATATGTCAAGGCTGGAGCGTCCAACAGATATTATAGAATGTATTTGTATGTGTGTAAAATTGTGGTCTATTTGAAGTTTGCTTTCTGTAATAGAAAGGACTCTATTATGAGGGTCAAATTTTTGAACTGTATTGATTGTGGGAAATGTTAACACTGTGATCATTGTTGTGTCCCTGTGTCATTGTTTCCTTGGTTAGCCTTTTAAAAGAGTTATATTTTTATTATGAATTGAGTAAAGGTTTACAAAACATCCTCAGTTTTACATTCATTAAGCCATAAACTTTGCTTCTGTTGAAATCCCCTCAATGTGACATCAGTTTTTCAATGTCCTCCCTGTATTTCTTGTTTCTTTTCCTCCTTCTTTCCCCACCTTTCTTAATTTTATCCCTAGGTAAATTGATCGCAGATGGTTGTCCATTCTGTGGTGTCACTAGTATTATTATTAATGAGTGAGCTCTGGTAGCGTAGTGGTTACAAATCGGGCTGCAAGCCGCAAGGTCAGCAGTTCGAAACTACCAGCCGTTCCATGGGAGAAAGATGAGGCTTTCTACTCCCGTAAAGATATACACCCTCGGACACCCTGTACAGGGTCGCTATGGGTCGGAACCAACTCGATGGCACTTAACAACAACAACAACAACAAATCTATCTATTGCTTGGCTGAAAATTGAGACATGTTGTGTGAGTTTAGTTCCAGACCTGAAGGCTACCCAAGGGCCGTAACCCAGGCGTTCCACTCGTCTATCTGACCAGTAAGCCTGGTCTTTTTTTATGATAATCTGAGTTTCGTTCCACATATTGTCACACTATCCAGGACCTTCTAAAGTGATCCCTTTCAGAAATGTTTGTTGGTAGTGGTAGCTAGGCACAATCTAGTTCTGGTTTCATGTTTGTGGAGACTAGTAGTCACGTGGCATAATTGTTTCCAGGCGTCTTCAGTTTTCACCACTCCTCTTTCCTCTGGACCGGGAGATAGTATCGTCGTACCTTTGAGATGGCTGCTCATGAGCTTTTAAACAAAGATTTCAGCCACTACGTACCAATGTAAACATTGTCTTTGTGGACTATTATGCTAGTTGGCCATGATGTGTCCCCTCAGGACCATGGTCCTGAGCACCCAGGTGTTTAGACTTTTTTTGGTAATTAATGTTATTTTTGACATGTTTTGTAGTAATGTTTTCCACACTTTGTTTAGAAGGCTTTCAGACATATTTAAGCTAAGTCTGTGGTACCAGTAAGTAAGGAACTTTACTACACTAGTATGGAATTGGAGTCCTGGTGTAGCGCTGTGGGGTAATGCACTGGACTGCAGGGTTGGCGATTCAAGCTCACCAGCTGCTCCTCAGAAACGCTACACGAGGTCTCTGTGAGTTGGAACTGACTCAATGGCACTTAACAAGTGTGACAGTTGATTTTTTCCCTTTTTCTTAAATTTTCCTTTTAATTTTTCAGACTAAAATGGTTAAAGGATAACTATTAATAAAATGATGTTAGGTACCGTTGATTTGATTTTGACTCATAGCAACTCCACATGGTAGAGTAGAACCTACCCCATGGTGTTTTTTTAGGCTGTAGTCTTTATGCGAGCAGATTGTTAAGTCTTTTTTTCCCATGGAGCTGCTGGTGGGTTTGAATCACCAACCTGTCCGTTAGCAGCCTAGCAAAGCATTGTGCTAACATAGCTTTTTATATAATTCTTTGAAAGCTTAGGGAGAGATTCAGGCGGACAGGAAGTAACACTTGGTAAACATTTGTATGTATTGGGTATGGTGGACTCCTGGTGTGGTGCTGTAGGATCAGCACTGGGCTGTGAACCATAAGGTCATCAGTTCAAACCCACCAGCTGCTCCCTGGACACCCTATACAGGGTCGGTATGAGTTGGAACCGACTCAACAACACTTAATGTTGGGCATGGTGCTAGTTGCTTTATATTTAATATCTTGCAGAATCTGTAGAAATTTTGAGGTATGGTCAATGAAGGAGCCTTGGTAGTGTAGTGGATTATGAGCTGGGCTACTAACCACAAGGTCAGTGGTTCGACTCTACCTGTTGGTGTGTGGAGAAAGAGGAGGCTGTCTGCTCATGTAAAGATTTCCAGCTTCGGAAACCCTATACAAGGTCGCTATGAGTTGAAATGACTTGGTGATACACGGCCACCATGGTAAACAGGCTCAACTAGTAAAATAGCATGTTCAGTTTTATAGACTGTAGGTAGTAGACTATCTACCAGTGATGTCAGTACTTCTCCAACTTCAATCAAAATGAAAATCATATTATTAAATTTCAACTGACAGTGACCCTGAGGAGCGGCTAGTGAGTTTGAACTGCTTGTGAAGACACATTCTTGGAATGTATTCTCCGAGAGTGTGACTCAGAAGCTGTCAGGTAGGGCCTAAAATTCTACAGGTCAGCACCTTCAGGGTGATGGTGTTGCCTTGCTGCAGCAACACTTGGGGTAGAACTGACTAGATTATTTAAGTGGTAGTAGTGGTGGTGGTGTGCAGTGGAGTTGGTTCCAACTCAAACTATCAGGTTTCTGAGGCTGGAAATTGTATGGGAGCCGAAAGCCTCATCTTTCTCTCGTGGGGTGAATTGTAGATTCAATCTGCTGACCTTGTGATTAGCAGCCCAGCTCGTAATCCACTGTGTTACCAAGACTCCTTGTGTAATTGTTGTTGTTGTTGTTATGTGCCGTGGAGTCAGTTCCTACTCATAGCGACCCTGTACAGGGTTTCCGAGGCTGTAAACCTTTACAGGAGCAGAGAGCCTCATCTTTCTCCCGTGGAACATATGGTAGTTACAAACTGCTGACCCTGAGGTTAGTAGCCCGATTTGTAACTACTACACTACCAGAGCTCCTTTATGTAAGTAATGGAGGTAGGCAATTCCAAGTTTGGTTTAGCGATTGAATGATAGTCATTAAAGAGTTGGTGACCTGGTGGTGGTGTGCTGAGGAGTTGGTTCCGACTCATAGTGACCCTGTATGGGGTTTCCGAGGCTGGAAATCTTAAGCCTCAAAAGAGGCAGCCTGGCAAGGCAGGAAAAGAAAGGGAGTGGAGTGGCTTAGAAGATGATCAGCAACAGTATGTGGCAGTCAGTGTATAACAGTAAGTGAGGGGCCAGGATTCAAGCTCTTTTCCCTGTTGCTGCACTAATTCACTCTACTCTCTGTATTTTTCAGATATTTTGTAAAATTTGTAATATCTGTGGGATGACCAGTGAATTTTAATCACATAGTATCAGTCAGCATCCTGGCAGGAAAGTGATGGCATGCTCAGATGTTGTGATTTAATTGAGTTTAATAGGGGGATTCTTGACAACCCACAGCAGTTTAATCAGGGATGAAGAACCCTAGCTGGGAAGGTTAAGTTCCACAAGGCTATCAACTCTGGGGAGACATTACATACAACTCCTAAACCCCACAAGAACAAGGGGAGGGAGAGGAGACTGGAACCACAAGAAGAGGAACTGTAGTTATAGCAGAGTACTTTGATAGTGAGATGTAACTAATCTGTTAGGTGGGGCAGGCAGGGGAATCAGTACCCCAGCCTCATTCTTCATGTCTCTGACTTTCTGTTCATGTTTCCCGCTGGCTGAACCCAATCAAAATCTAGAGGTTAAGAGACCCCTTTGATGTAGTTTGTAAAGATTATCCTGCTTGAGCACAAAACAAGGCAGAGAACACTGGAGATGGATTTGAAGTGGCAAAAGGAAAATTGCATACAACTGGAACTGCACTTATATACCACGATTTGTTTGTTCGTTCACCAGTTGCAGACTGTTACTTGGGTTGCTTTGACTACCAAAAATAAAGCTGGTGTGGTTATTTGTGTGCAGTGTCTGTTTGGACATGCGCTGCTTTTCTTTTGGGTAAAGGCTAGGGAGTGGAATGGCTGGATTGGATGGCATAGGTACATGTTTAAGTTTAACTTTTAAAGAAACTGCCAGACTGGTTTGAGGTAATTATACTATTTTATATTCTCACCATCAGGGTATGAAGATAGGTTCTGTTTCTTTGCCCACACTTTGTATGGTCAGCTTTAAAATTTTTAGCCATTTTAAAAAGTGAGTTATGGTGTCTTAGGTGGTTTTAGTTTGCATTTCCCTAATGACTAATAAAGGAATCCTGGTATAGCACTGTGGGTTAATGCGGGACTACAAAATCTGTTTGCACTGCAGAGTCAGCGGTTCAAGCTCACCAGCTGCTCCTCAGAAACCCTATACAGGGTTGTTATGAGTCAGAATTGACTCAGAGGCATTTAACAACAACAACAACAGCAATGACTAATAAAATCTAATCATTTCCATATTGCCAGAGGAGCTCTGGTAGTGTAGTGGTTACGAATTGGGCTGCAAACTTGAAGGTCACCAGTTCGAAACTGCCATCTATTCTGTGGGAGAAAAATGAGGCCTTCTGCACCCATAAAGATTTATAGCCTCGGAAACTCTGTACAGGGTCGTTGTGAGTCGCAACCGACTCCACGGCACATAACTACCACCACCATCCATATACACATAAATTCATTCATTGTTTAGTGTCTGTTCAAATCTTTGCACATTTGCAAAATTAAGATTCTTTGTTTTATTATTTTTGTTCTTTGAGAGTTCTAGGGTTGGGCAGTGATTCATGCTATTGTGCATAGAGTCGCTATGAGTCGAGATTGCAAATATTTTCTCCCAGTTTGCAGGTAATCTTTTCTTCTCTTAAGAGTGTCTTTGAAGAGCCGAAGTGCTTGCTTTCTTTTTTAAACGTTTAATTGTGGTTTGAGTGAAAGCTTACAGAGCAAAGAGTTTTCCAGTTCAGCGCTGTTTCATTAGATTGGTTACCATCTCTTAATGTAACAACACTCTTCTCATGCCCTCCCTGGGTTCCCCGTTTTCATTTGTCCCTTTCTGCTTTCTGAACTCTGTTTTTGGATAAAAGTGTTTGGTTTTGATGAAGCCAAGTAGAAAATAAA